GCTGCGGGGCGCTTCCCAGATGTTGTTGTCTGATCGCGCCCTTTAAATCCTCCCGGCATTCGCACCTATGTCGGGTCTAATTGTGCGTATGATCACAGCCCTACTGAAAAATCCATCAATGACGTCACCTGTATCTAGAATAAGAAATCTGGTAGTATTTTCTTTTCCATCTTCTCTGATTGCAAAAAAAAAAGTCCCAACAGCAACTAGTTGCAGATCTTTACTTGCCCTTTGCAAACCAGCTGTTCCACTCATCCTTGAATTTCCTTTTTTATGATGACCACATGTGACTGACCTGGACTGAGCTATTTGTTGGTCGTAATTCTTTTTTCAAAAATAATGCACGCACATCATCAATCTAGCTAACATTTTAAATCACGTCTGCCTTACTAACTTTATTTCCCCCCTGGTTATAGCTACGGCATGTTGTTTTTGGAGCCCAGTATGATGCATTCACACTGAGATGTCAAATGAATCTAGAGTAATTACATTCTTGTTATAATGCTATTTTTTTTCTTTTTTTATTATTGTAATAGCAGTATGTTTTTTGTACTGCTTTGAAATATTGGAAAACAGGACACTCAAAATGCTGGCTGCAGTGCATTTATGAAGGAACATGGATTGTGAAAATTGGGCACTTCATTCTTGATCGGAGTGGATTGGGGGACCTTGACTTTGGTGCACAAACCCTGAATCACTTAAGACTGCCCGTGCTTCAAGGTCATTCAAGAGAGAAATTAGTATTGCAGAATAACAGGGATGGGAGCTCAGTTCCCAAAAGGATAAGATTAATAAGCAACTCACTGGTTTTGTGAGCTAACAGAGAACCGCTAATGAGAATATACCTCAAATACTGAATGCATTTCAGAACAGCGGTTACCTGGCCTTTGGGAGGGTAACAGCAGATCTCCCTGGAGAAGGTCCATAACTTCAGCGTACCTGCCCAGAAGACCTCATCAACAACCATGATTGTATTATGGAGTGGGGTCCTTCTACCAAGTCTTCCTCCATCAGAGGCAGCCCTTCACCACTGGAGAAAATCTTAGCAGAAGGGAATGACAGGATCCAATACGCTGGGTTTAAAATTGGTTATGAAATGGTAGCGCAAGGGTGTGCATGTGATGTGACAAAATGCTGATTTCTGCGTTGTGCTGTGGCGTTGGACAGGTCTGTCTTCAGCCAGTGCCATTTTGATGTCATTCTGTCTCCTCTGAAGGTTATTTCGGTTATGTTTTTATCTTCACCAATCCTGTTTTAAGCCAGTCACGTTCCTGCTTTTGTGGGTGGTAAAAACAGGACTGATAATCTTCTGCCGCTGTTCCTCTGGAGCTAATTAAGCTCCCGAGGTTGCCCTGCGGGGTGCTAATCTCTGTGCCCTAAATGAGCATTTCTTTCAACAGTGTGGAGAATAAATTATTCCCCTTGATTTAGCCCTGACTTTTTATCAGAGTTTCTGCTTGTGAATTAAACAGAGTGTCCTTGGAACATTACCAGGGCAAGGCAGTTGCTTTAATCCAGCGAGCAATAGGAGAGAATGGGAGGGGTGAGAAGTCACATGGACCTCCAGCCTGTGGTCTGTAGTGGCGCGAGTGCATCCCTCGGTTGACTACCGCAGTGAAACCTGAGCCTGTGGGGTGGTAGTCTGTGCTGGGGTAGGGTGTCCTTAATGGTCCATATTTGCATGAGCAGCAAAGACACAAGATATTCTCCCTTTTCTTCCATGCGCTGGAAGCTCACAAGTTGCCCATCTCTCACTGCTCATGGATCAGGACCATTCACGTAAGTGGTTGGTAATGTGTTGACCCCATTCTAGCAATGGAAGCCCCTCTAGCTTTTCCCTTGGGACACATGAAGTGCTCCTCAAGGACTTCTGCTGAAAGGGAGGCCAAAGTTAAAAGAGCTCCTGATGGCCTGTATGTTGGTTTTTGGTTGTAGAATGTTTCTTAACAGGCCAGGGCCTCTGGCAGAGGCAGAGAGCCAGTTTGGTGTAGTGGTTAGGAGCGCGGACTCTTATCTGGGAGTACTGGGTTTGATTCCCCACTTCTCTACATGCAGCTGCTGGTGTGACCTTGGGTCAGTTACAAGTTGTTTCAGAGCTGTTCTCTCACGAGCAGTTCTTGAAAGAGCTCTCTCAGCCCTACCTCACAGTGTGTCTGTTGTGGGGAGGGGGAGGGAAAAGAGATTTGTAAGCTGCTCTGAGACTCCTTCGAGTAGTGAAGAGTGGGGTATCAATCCAATCTGCTGCTCCTCCTCCTTTCTTTCATGGGCATAACTTCGTTTAGTAGTTACATAAATGGACCCGATAACTGTGGGGTTTATTCATATGTCTGGAAAAATTATGTCTGTGGGAGGAGGGGTTTATTAAATAGTTTTAACCTTAGTCAAATATACCTGAGTGGGATTCATGCCACTTGTTTGCACCGCTGTCACATACAGGCCAGCTCTTGTTGTGTACGGAGTGTGAGGAGGGGAGAAACTCAATTCTGTCAGGAAGGAAGGGTCTCCTGACCACTACTGTTCCTTCAACGACAATCGCCCTTTGAGACCCAGCCGGTCCTGAAAAGCAAGCCGCAAAGGCGCACAGCCCAAGACAGCCAGGAGCCTTGGGCCTTCCAACCTCTGCAAATGTTTGTTAGAGTGAAATTTGCCTGTGTATCATCAAATAAGAATGAGCTGAGATCAGCCTTGGCAAGAACAGGGCCTCTGTTTCTTTCCACACAAAACAGCACAACACGAAAAGGCGGCGGGGGGGGGGGGAGGGGGACAAAGGAGGGAGAAATAGTTCAGTTGTAAACGTAATGTTAGAGGTCTTGCACAGCTTGCAAGTTTTGAAGATATGAAAAAGACAAACGGCAAGGAGGCTTTCAGTCATCCTCCCTCATCGCAAGGTAGCTGCGATGCAGAATCCTGTGTCTGAAGTCGCATCGCTCTTTGTTTGGCTCTCGTCCAGCATGTCTCCAGGGCCCAGCTCTGGCTGAAGCCTTTGCGCCCTGCAAGCCAGCCACAGATTTCAGCGGAAGGTCTTTTGAGGGCTCGTTTGAAGGGCAGGCGACTGGTGGCCCCCATTGGCTGAGTCCAGCCCCCAGAGAATTCCCATCAGGTTTCAGATGTGGACCCCACTTTCTGGGGGGGGGGGGGGCTCTTTGTTTCGCAAAAA